CACCTTGTGCTCCGCCTCCGCGGTGGTGTGATGGAGCCGACGCTGGAGGCGCTGGCGAAGAAGTTCAACTGGGAGAAGAAGGTGTGCCGCCGCTGCTACGCCCGCCTGCCGGTGCGTGCGACGAACTGCCGCAAGAAGGGCTGCGGCCACTGCTCCAACCTCCGCATGAAGAAGAAGCTGCGGTAAGCTCAGGTCTCCGCCTTGAAACGTGTAGGTGACTGTTCCTTGGCGCTGATTTCTCTTTTCTTTTCCTTCATTTTAAAACCCCTATGAGCTGCAGCTGCGGCTGTGTCTGTGTGTGTGTGTGTTTGCGCTCCGTCCGACTTGTGTGGCCCCGTACCTGTGCGTTGGGTATGCTGTCTTGTTTCTCCTTCTGCCTTTTCTTTCCTTTCAATATGCCCTCGGCGGATGAAGAAGGATTTCTTTCTTGGTGTGTTTGTGTGTACGCGTACGCCTACGCACCAAACGCATAATACGGGAATACGTTTTAAGAGAGACACCAGGCAAGTGATCGCGTATCACGATCCCTCCACCCCCCTCATTCTTCTTGCCTTCGTGAAGTATCGCTATCGACTAGCAAGAGGGTGGGGCGTGGAGTAGTAGTGGGTCAGTGTATAAGTAGAGGAGGGAGAGGGATTGAGTGGGGAGGTGTCACGGCGGCCGTTGCCTCGGCTGCGCGTCCCTGCACCGTAGTAGTTGAGGCCCAGCAGGCGTTGGAGACCTTGTTTCGCCTTCCTTCGTTCCCAAGAAGAATCACTCTTCGGAAGAGGGGGGGGCGCAAGAAGGGGTGTCTGTGTGTGTGTGTGTGTAGCATTCGTTTCGAACCGACAGTAATAACAAGAAAAAAAAACATAGTCTCTTTCTCTCTCTCTCTCTGCGTGTGTGTGTGTGTGTGTGCGTGTGTGCGTGTGTTGGACTTCTTTGGTTTCATAACAGGATCGAGGAGAGTGAGAACACCCAGCGGCAATGCCTAGAGTATCTGAGTTCTGTCGTCGTTTGCGGAATCGTGCATGCTCGTGTTGCTCCTGCTGTGGGACTCAGGCGGAGGACGCTGAGAGTGATACGAATGAAGTGCCCTTTGTGGAGATAAGTATTCTCCGCGACGACCTCAACGCTGAGCGGAACTACCCCACCAACTCCATCCGCACCTCCAAGTACACGTGGGCCTCGTGCTTCCCGAAAAGCCTGATGTACCAATTCCGCAAGGTGTCGAACGTGTATTTCCTGCTGGTGATGATACTCTCCATGATCCCTGGTGCAAGCCCGGTCAACCCGTTCAGCAGCATCGTCCCGTTCGTCATTGTGCTCGGCGCCGGTATCGTGAAGGATCTCTGGGAGGACGGCAAGCGGCAGAAGTCGGACCGCCGTGCAAATGAAGTGAAGGCGTTCGTGCTGCGTGGCAGCGACTTTGTCGCAGTGCCCTCACGTGACGTGCGCGTGGGCGATGTGATGCTGTGCCGCCTCGGTGATGAGGTGCTTGCTGACTCCGTGGTGCTCAACACTTCCCTTTCCGACGGTCTCACTTACATTGAAACCGCTAATCTCGATGGTGAGACGAACGCCAAGACGCGGCGCGCGATGCCGCAGACGATCGCCGCGCTTGGGACGGTGGAGGACATCATTGAGAAGTCTCTGCCCAGCTACGGGATGCGGGCGCACTTCCTGGAGCACGGCTCGCTGGCCAAGTGGCGGAAGGCCGCAAAGGATACTGTCGTCCCGGCACCAATACCAGATCTGCCGAAGGTGTTGCCATGCGAGCCAAAAGCGGAAGGGTCGCCAAAGGTGCTGCCGATGCCATCGTTTCCGCTCCACGACAGCACAGATGTGGCCAACGAGCCGTTCCCAAAGAAGGATTCGGTGACGTTGGTGAAGAACTCCAGCTTTCCCCCTGGCGAAGCAGTCGGGCCACATTCACACTTGCGTGCCAATTCGTGCGCGGTGGGAGAGATGCGGTGGGGCAAGAGTTGTGCGCTGCACACCCGGCAACTCACGCTTGATGAGCGTTTTATGGTTGGGCGGGAAATTCCGATGCCCCGGGACATCTTGGGAATGTCACGCTCTTACGAGCACCGGCATATGGCGCAACACTCGCGTGGGCACTTCCCACTCGGGTCGGCGGGGCATGAGATGACGGAACGGGCTAACGGCAGCGGGGGTGCGGCTAGCGGCTCCACCCCCGAAGAAATAGGGATGTCTAGCAGCACCAGCACCACCACTGAAGGCGTGGTGATTCTCGGCGCACCGCCATGCGCTGAGCTGTACTCGTGGATTGGGCAGTTGAGGATGCACGATAGCGACCCGGTTCCACTTGGCGTGGAGCAGTTGCTCCTGCGTGGATGTGTTATACGTAACACAGAGTGGGTGCTCTGCGTTGTGGTGTACACGGGGAGGGACACCAAGATGCTGCTTAACCTGCGGCCAAAACCAATCAAGACATCTGTGATTGGGCGTCGCATCAATTTCCTCAACCTCTTCTTGCTGATGGTGCACCAGGCGGTATTGTTCCTGCTCTGTGGCCTCGCCGTGGCGTGGCGCAATTCACGCCTGGATGCCCCAGAGGGCACAAAAAGCGGCTTCTCCACGTGGTACATTCAATGGAATCTTGCGCGTCATGATGGAGCGAGCTTTGTTGGTTTGCTATACCTGACGAACTTCGTCTTGTTGTCCTTCCTAATCCCGCTCTCGCTGTACGTCACGCTGGAGTTCAACAAGGCCGTTCAAATGTACCTCATGTCGTGTGACAGACGGATGGCAAACTTTGATGAATTCAACGGGGAGCTGCGCTACTCACGACCCAAGACCTCGGAGTTAAACTGCCAGCTCGCCCACGTACGCTATATCTTCACGGATAAGACCGGTACACTGACGGAGAACGTCATGACGTACGTTGGTGGCTGCACGGCGTCTGAGAAACACGATGAGCAGGAGAGACCTGGGGGGCTTGGCGAGTCATTCCTGCGCTTGCTACAGCGCCAACAGAAGGTAGTGAAGCGGGAGACTTCCACTGCAGAGGACACCCGTCGATTACGCCCGCATCGTCTGCAGTTAGATTGCGGTTTTGACGAATCCTTGGTTGAGGAAGAGCCGGTGTATCAGTACCTGCGTGCCCTCTCGCTGTGCCACTCCGTCGTTTGTTTCGATCGCCCAACTGTAGATGAGGCCGCCATCGTGACACCGGTGGGCGATGGCGGGGGTCGGTCCTTAACGTATGACGTAAATGATGCCAGCTTGCGAATGCGAAGCGGTGAAGGACGCGAGATGGCAACTCACGCTCGGCAGGGGTCGGCTGGAATGGGCGCGAGCATCTCCGTCTTCCATGCGAGCACGGTGAGCGGCGTTGGCCGCTTGCTGCACGGCCGCACTGGTAGTACGAGTTGGTTTGCGACGCGCCATAGTGACATGCAGGCACACCAGCGCTCCGCCACGATGCCGCAGTCAGTGAATGAGCTGAAGGATTTATCAAAGATATACGAAGGACATTCACTCGACGAGATTGCGCTGGTCACCGCAGCACGCGATAACCTGTTCGCGTTGCAGCGTCGAACTGCAAAACATATGTTCGTCAAGGTAGTTAACAAGATGGTGTGTTACGAGATTATTGCGGAGTTGGAGTTTACTCCACAGCGGAAGCTTATGAGCATTTTGCTCATTCGTAATCCTGACTATGATGATACAGCTGCAGATATGCAGGGCGACGCCTCAATCAGTTACCACCGTCGGTCAGGTACGTCCCCCATTCAGATGGAGCCAGCAATAGCGCCGCGAGGGTTGATCAAGAACGTTTTAGTAATGCATAAAGGGAATACAATTGATGTGAACAGTTTGAGAGTACGAGATGAGGATGATGAGGATGATGAGGATGCACTGAAAGATGTGAGGACCTCCGGCAATAGTGTGAAGGAGAGGTGTCCATACCTCCTTCTGGTGAAGGGCGCGGATAATTGCATGATGGAGATCGTAAACCAGCGAAATCCACGCAACGCTGAGCTTAAACCTGTGTTTCAGCAGGAATTGGAGTCCATGGCGCAGAATGGCCTGCGAACACTCGTTCTAGGTCAGCGCTACGTCTCCGAGCGTGAGGTGCGGGGCTGGCTGCCGGTGTTTAACGAGGCACAGTGCAGCATGCACGACCGCAGTGAGAAACTCCACAGCGCGTACGCGTTGATGGAGAAGGACATCGATCTCGTTGGTACCACTGCGGTGGAGGATCAGCTGCAAGAGGGTGTCCCCGAGACACTAGAGTTCTTCCTGCAGGCGGAGATTGTGGTGTGGATGCTCACCGGCGACAAGCGCGAGACGGCTGTGACAATTGCCGGCACGAGCGGCATCGTGAGCCCCGCTTTTGAGGACTGTGTGTGCCACCTCGATGTGGCGGATGCATCGGCGGCGTTTCCCTCCCTCGCTGCTGCCACCGCGGACCCGTCGTTGCGGGGCGTTCTGCGCGATCAGCTGCGAAAAGCCGCCGCAAAGTGCGACGACGCGGAGCGCAAATACGACGGCTGCCGCGCCGTTGTGGTTGTGGTGGACGGCCGCACGCTGGACATCATCTTCGGCGACGACGGTGACACCCGCACCTTCTTTGACATCGGCGTCCGCTGCCGCAGTGCTGTGTGCTGCCGCATGACGCCGCTACAGAAGGCGAAGATTGTTCGGATGTTCCAGAAGAACACGAACACCGTTGCGCTGGCGATAGGCGACGGCGCGAATGACGTGTCGATGATTCAAGAGAGCCACATCGGCGTCGGCATCATGGGTCTCGAGGGCTCACAGGCGGAGTTGGCGAGCGACTACGCCATACCGAAGTTCCGCTTCTTGAAGCGGCTGCTGGTGGTGCACGGTCGTTTCTCCTTGTACCGCGACGCGCACTGCATTGTGTTCAGCCTCTACAAGAACGTGACGCTGTCGGCTGGGCTCATTGCGTACACCTTCTACCAGGGTTTCTCCGGCCTGCTTCTAGTAGATTCATGGCTACTGGCGTTGTTCAATCTCTTCTTTTGCTCCCTGCAGCCACTGGCGATCGGAATATTTGACAAGGACGTGGAGGATGAGCTGGCAGAGTCTCTTCCGGCACTCTACCCGGCACTTTCGCGCGAACAGATGTTTTTTAGCTGGCGTTATATTCTAAAGTGGCTTTTCGACGGCGTTGTGGACGGACTCATATTGTTCTTGGTCATCTTCTACACTGTGGGGCAGGAGGACGACCTGTACCCGTACCGTGGTGCCGCTGTGGAGGACTACGGGATGCTTTTTTACATGATGATGCTTATTGTGCTGAACCTGCGCGTTGCGGCACTCATGACGTGCTACACTGCCGTCTCCACCACTGTCATTGCCTTGGGCTTCGCCGTAATTCCACTTCTTACGCTGGCTTACTCGGCGATCCCGAACCTCCTCGGCTCTGACTGGTGTTTCAATGTGGCGAAGGAGCTGATGGGGACGGGGAGGTTTTGGCTTATGCTGCTCTTTGCTGGTGGTGTGTTTGTGGTGTACGGCTTGGCGGTGAATGCGTACATGGCGCTCTTCTGGCCGTGGACGAATGGCGGCGGGGCGATGAAGGCGGCGTGGCGCTCACCGTACAGGCGCGAACATCACGGGCGCATCCAAGGCCGCCACTGAGCAGCACGATTATCATTTTCACCACCGTTAAGAGAAGACGAAAAGTAACAATGATAACGACAGCAGTTGTTGTTGGCGGAGGCTGTGGCATTAGCAGCAGCCAAGGTGACGAAGTATTCTCTCTGGTAGGTTGTGGGTAATTGGGACTATGCGGGTGGGGGGGGGCAGTGGATAGAGTCTGGGAGGTGAGTAGTTGGGTGTTGTTTGCGTTGTGTACACCTTTATATACGTATATATATATATAT